AAAGGAGAATTTAGAGCAGAAATAGAAAAAATGGAAGTGGAAGAAGGGAGAGTGAAAATAGGAACAGAAGGAAAAAGGGTTAGAAGAAGGGAGAAGAAAAGAAAGGAGGAAAGGAGGAAGAGAGAGGGATGGAAGGAAGAGAAGGGAAGAAGAAAGAGGGGAGATGGAGACAGGAATGAGGAAGAAAGAAGAGAAAAAAAGAAAAAGGAGAAGAAATAAGAGAAGAATGGAAAATAGGATTCTGGAATGTGTGGCAGGGCTGAAAAGTAAAGAAGAAAAATTCTGGAAGGAAATAGAAGATTGGGAAGTGGTAGTAATGATGGAAACGCGAATAGAGGAAAGAGGACGGGAGGCGATTAAAAAGAAGTTACCGAAGGGATATAGATAGGAGAAGCAAGCAGCAAAGAAGAGAAAGAAGAAAGGAAGACCGATGGGGGGAATAATTATGGGGGATTAAAGGAGAAGAAGGGGAAGATCAAGGTAACAGAAATAGAAGAAAAGGGGGAGGCGAATAATAATGGCGAATATAGAAGTGGGAAGAGAGAATTGGAGGGTAATAGGTATATACATTAACAGGGACATGGAGAGAAAAATGGAGAAAATGAAGGAGTGGATGGAAGAGAAAGAAGAAAATAAATGGACGATCTTAGGAGGAGATTTTAACGCAAGAACAGGGAGAAGAGGAGGAGTGATAGGAAGAAAAGAGGAAGAAGGAAGAAGATCGAAGGACAAGAAAATTAATGAAGAGGGGATGAAGCTGATAAAAGAGCTGGAAGAGGTGGAGTAGGGCATTTTCAACGGAGAAATAAGAGGGGATAAGATGGGGGAGTATACATATACAGGAGAAAAAAGTGTACAGGAGGAATACGTATACAGAGGGAATCGGTGATTGACTACGTGGTAGGAAAGAAAAGAATAAAAAAAAGATAAAAAGAATGGAGGTGGGAGATAACGTAGAATCGGACCATCACTCATTGATCGTGACGTTAGAAAGAAGAGAAGGTAATGAAAAAAAGAGAAAGGAGGGAACAGGAAAAAGAAAAAGAGGGAGATGAACGGAGAGGGGAGGAGAAAGAATAAAAGAGGAAATAGAATGGGTAGAAGGATGGAAAGAGGGAATAAAAGAGGAGTTAGAGGAAAAAATAGTAAGAATAGAAGAGGAATTGAGAGAAGGAGAAAAAGAGAGTGGAGAAGGGAAAAAAAAAAGTGGTGGGACAAGGAATGTGAAGTGAAGAGGAAAGAGGTGAGGAAAAAGTTAAGGGAATGGAGGAAAAGAGAAGGGGGAGGAGAAGAAGGATACAGAAAAGCAAGGGCGGAATATAAGCTAATGTGTAAAGGAAAAAGGGAGGAGGAGAGGATAAGATGGTACAAAGAGGCGATAGAGGCAAGAACAGAAGAAGAGGTATGGAAAATCATAAGCAGAAAAAAGAAAAAAAGAAAAGGGGTTAATAAAGAGATAAAGGCGGATGAATGGAAGAAATACTTCATGGACTTATTGGGAGGGGTAGAGATTAAAGTTGTAAGAGGAGGAAAAGAAAAAAGGGAGAAGGATGAGGAACAAAAAATAAGCAGGGGGGAAGTAAAGAGGATATTGAGAAAAATAAAGAAAGGAAAGGCAGCAGGAGAGGATGGAATACCGAGTGAAGTATGGAAATATGGAGAGGAGAGGCTAGAAGAGTGGGTATGGGAAATGTGCAACAGAGTCTGGAGAGGGGAAGGATGGCCGGAGAGGTGGAAAGAGGGGATAATTGTGCCACTGGTAAAAAAGGGAACGGCGGATAGAATAGAAAATTACAGAGGGGTGACATTGATGCCAACGTTATATAAGATATACGTGGGGATACTAACGGAAAGATTAAGGGAGAAAATGGAGGAGGAGAATATGATACCGGAGAGTCAAACAGGTTTTAGGAAGGAAATGGGGGTGATAGACAATATTTATGTTCTAAACTATTTGGTGAATAGAAAAGTGAATAAGAAGGGAGGTAAGGTGATAGCGGTTTTCATAGATTTAAAGGCGGCGTTTGATTCGGTGGACAGGGAGGTGTTAATGGAAGCAATGAGAAATAGGGGGGTAAGGGAAGGACTAAGAAGTAGGATAGAGGAGGTGTACAGAGAAACGAGGAGCAAAGTAAGAGTGGGGAAGGAGGAGGGAGAAAGCTTTTGGACGGCAAGAGAAGTGAGGCAGGGTTGCCCAATGAGCCCACATTTATTTAATCTGTTGATAGCGGATGTAGAGGAAGTACTGAGAAAAGGAGGATGGGGAAGGGTGAAACTAGAAAGGAAAAAAGTACACTGTTTAGCATATGCAGATGACATGGTACTGTTGGCGGAGAATAAAGAATGGATGATACACATATTAGGGAAAATGGAAAATTATATGGATAAGAAAAGATTAGAAGTGAATGTGGATAAGACAAAGATAATGAGATTTAAAAAGAGAAGAGAAAGAATGAAGAAAGTTGAGTAGAGATGGAAAGGGAAAAAAATAAAGGAAGTGAAGGAGTTCACTTATTTAGAATATAAGTTGCAAAGGAATGGGGGACAGGAGGCACAGGTAAAGGACAGAGTCAGGAAAGCAGGAGCGGTGATAAGACTAGATGTGAGGAATGGGAAAAAAAAGATTTGCAGGAGATTGGATGAAAAGGATATGGTTAATGGAAAGGTTGGTGGGAACGGTGTTGGAATATGGGGCGGAAATATGGGGGTGGAAAGAGAAGAGAAAAGTAGAGGCAATGCAAGAAAGATGGATTAGGTGGACGTTAGGAGTGGACTGGTGTACGCCGGGATACATGGTAAGAGAGAAGATAGGAAAGGATAAATTTAAGATAAAAGCAGGGAGAATATGGTTAATGGATATAGCAGTAGGGTATGAGAAGAAATTGGAGGAAGTTTAGTGAGGAAATGATATGAAAAAAAGAGTAAGAAAAGGAAAGCAGAGATCAGTTTAAGAAAAAGAGAGGGCAAAATTCTTTGAAGAAAGAGGAAAAGAAGGGAAGGAGATGAAGGAAAAGAGAGGAAGGGGAGAGAAAGTATACGAGAGATGGGAGCAGAAAGACAAAGAAATGCAGAAAGAGGAAAGATGGGAGAGGATAAGGGAATCGAGATATAATAGATAGTATGGAGAATGAAAGAAGGAGAGATTAATATTCGAAAAAGGGATGGGGGGAAAGTAGATGGAGAAGGATAATAAGGTTTAGAATGAACAATAAAATGAGAGGGGCGAGATACTGGAAAGAAAAAGAGAAAAGAAGATGTAGGCTATGTGGATTAGAAGATGAAACATGAGAACATGTAATAGGAGAATGTGGTAAAGAAGGGAGTAAAGGAAATTGGTAGGAAAGAATGAAGGAAATACTGCAAGAGGGAAAAGAAGGAGAAGGATGGATGAAGGAATTAGAAATGTTGGCCGATGGCCTTTATATCGTCGTCGACAGATGCTCGGTCCTCAGATTCCACACAGATGGATATCGCTCGGGTTATTAATCCAATCAGGATGTGAATTAAAGATTAGTGATATATATATGTATTATGTTCCAGTTAAAAAATGTATTTATTGCAATCCTCTATATATATATCGTAGAGTCGTTACAGACGCCGAAGATTTCGCTGTAGTTTGCGCCGCCAGAATGATGACTATAATTATGATCCCTTTTCTCTCGAAGATCTCCATATTTATACTCGTTGTCCAAAAAGTATTCCCACCCCAAAGTATAAGACCAATCGGAGCAGTTTTCATTTGAACAGCTTAAATCGTTTAGTCTTCACGAAAAACAATAACTTTGGCGAACGAGAGAGATTCGGTTTACGGTCGCACAAATAAATAAAAATGTAACAACACATTAAATTAAACCGGTCGAAGGACAAGTAGACGAAAATATAAATAAAATAAATCAACGTCTCTCTTGTTTTCCTTTCTCTTATTCACGGCTAAATGTATTTCGCGATAAAATAAAATATATAAAAATGCCTACAGCTCGGCCAGCCTGACTCTTGACCGACCCGGTCAATCGTAATCCCCGTGATTCAAAATAATTATTATAAGTAGTCTAACAAAAATCACACATTTGAAGTAATTGCTATAAATAAGTTTACATCACGATCTCAAACTCAACGAAATAAATATTACAGATAAACTCTTAATAATGTCGCAACTTAATTACGGATATATGGATGCATATGGTCTGGCGCAAAAATATCCGTGTACGGTCGCTGCGTCAATTGGAATCCGTCCACATCAGCGATCTAGCATCTTTTTTACAACGTATGGGCCTTTATACTTTAGAATTAATTTTTTATTTATACCGGCTACAGTCTCTACATTGCGAATTTCAAGATAATCGCTGAAGCCATATTTGCGAACCGCTCTTCTTCGCAAGTTGTATCGCTCGGCGCTCTTTTCTTTTTTTTTCGCTGTGTCTTGTTTATTTTGTCGCTCGCCTTATCTTGTCGGCGAAAATAACTCGCCAGCCCTAGGAATCGCTGCATGTCCTTCGCGCTACGCGGCACCGGATAGTCAACGACGGACGCAACATTCTCGTCGCTCGGCCGGATACCATGCCTACTTACGCAGTAACCTAGGTATTTTATTTCTGTCTGGGCAAAGTGACACTTATCAAGTCGAAACCCTAATCGATTTTCACCTGCTATCTCGAACACTCTTGATAAGATTTTGATGTGCTCGTCCACACCTTTCGTTGCGATCAGCAAGTCATCCAGATAGACCAAAATCTTATTTTCACGGATCAATGATTCGAACACCATATGCACGAATCGCTGAAAAACTCGCGGGGCATTGGCCAAACCGAATGGCATGCTCAGATACTCGAATTGCCCGAGAGGCGTAACGAACGACGTATATTTTACGGACGATTCATGCATCTTTACATGATGAAATCCGTTCTTTATATCCAAGATAGAAAAATATACTTTTCCCTGTAGACGATCGAGATTATCGTCTATCAGTTCCGTCGGAAAATTGTCGCGTATCGTGATTTTATTTAACTCTCGATAATCCACGCACAAACGGCACCCTCCGTCTTTTTCCGCACCAAGACTATCGGACTTGCATACGGGGAACTACTTGGTTGTATAATTGATCTTTTTAATAAGTCATCTAAAATCTCGCGCAGAAGCTCCTTATCCGCGAAGGATAATCGTCGCGGTCGCAAACTTATCGGTTGCTCGTGTTTGAGAGCAATTATCATTTCATAATTGGACGCATTTTCCTCTACTCGCATCTTGTTAATATAATGTGCCTTATACGCTCCGCAAATTCGCGCGGACACCCCTCCGCCGATCGCCGGATTTATTTTCAATTCTTTGCACGAATCAACGGAATCGCTGCCGCAATCGATGTGCATAAGCAAATTAATAGCGCGCTTCTCTTCGGCCCCCGCGATCTCAAGCGTATCGCCGATCGTAACGTGAAGCCGCGGACAGTTCAAAAAATCTCTCCCAAGCAAAACATCGAAAGCCATTGTCTTACGAGGTACCACATAAAATTTCATTTCGATCTGCACCCCGCCGACCTCCAACTGACCGACAAAAGCATCATCGATTTCCAGCTGCGACCCATTAATTCCGTAGAACGGCTGTTCGCCTACCGTGTCGCATCTCGCCTCACGCGGAATTACGTCGTTGCGTACCAAGTTAATAGGCGAACCGGAGTCTATCATCGCGTTTATCACGTACACGCATTTCTCTTTCGCGCTGCTGGGCACAATTTTTACGCGGATCATATACGGTTTAGGAAGATCGACCGGATGCACCATATTTGTCGTAGCGATCCGCGCTACGTCCTTTGATGCCCCCGACGTTGAGGCTTGATTCCGCTTCGGACATTCCCGCGCGAAATGATCCTCCGATCCGCACACAAAACACGCTTTTTTAACTGCGCCCGCCTACAATGCGCCGCAATGTGCCCCGTCTCGCGACAACGATGACACCTTTTCACCCCCTCAGCCGTCGTCGCCTCTGTCCTTTTGCCGCTGGTAGTCCTCAGTCCTCTTGGCTCTATCGCTCGTCCTCTCCTCATCAATCCGAATTCAGCGATTTTCGGATCTATATTTTTCTCTTGCATTCATTTATTTATTTCCGTAGGGGGGTTAAAGGGGTATTGAAATTAAATCTCAAAATATGAGATTATTTCATATTTAAAATCTTGGCCGTGTCCAAGTAAAAATTTGGTGCCTTGTGCACCGGTATTTTAATTCTAACGAAAAATTATTTAGTTTCGTTAGGATAACGCATTGTCATCCGCGATTTGGCTCTTGTTGCCCGTCTTATACGTTAAATTTATAATCATATATATACATTTTCATCATCAATAAAATCACAATCTAACAACATAATATATATTAATGTTATATAATTTCATACTTAACAAATGATTATAATTTATTTTGAAACAAAAATGTAATTCTGCTTTGATAATATATTGATTCTGTTTAAAATAAATCATCGTTGATTGAGAAATATTGACAAAAGTCATCTATTCTGTATGTCCCTTTATTTATATGTTGTTTTGTTATCATTACACAGCTATTACATGACACATAATCTGTGCAGTAATGCATAACAACATTGTTAAAAGTTACAGAATAGGCTCCTTAAATTCTATTCTTGCTTGATAAAAAATGTATTGTCATATAAATAAAATATTAATTTAGTTTATTGTTAGCACATAGACTCAAAATATAAAAGTCTAAAATACAAATGCATCATGAACACATTCTTATTTTCTATATTCTTTAGAATAAATATCTTTAAATATAAATTAAGATATTTTTTATTTTATAGAGTTTTAATTCTGGAGCGCAAGACCACCAGTCTGGGAGGACGATTGGAAGATTGCACTAGAGGTCACTACTTAGAGACTGTTACAGAAAATAAAAAGGAAATATGCCTAAAATTTCTATTAAATATTATAGACGCGCAAAAACCTGTTCAGATAATTCAATAAATTTAATTAAATCTAATGATTTTGCTCAATATTTAAATAAAAATAATGATATTAATAAAAAATTAAGTGATAAATATAAGGCCAACTTATCGAGCTGAATATTCGAGATGTTCAGTCAACTACCATTTATTACATGTATAAATTATAAAACTACAGTCATTATATTAAAACTAACGCAAATTACAATCATTCTATAAACGTTTCGACCGCACGCGGTCTTCTTCAGTATAATTATTGAAATATAAATTCTTACAATTCACATAATATCGAAATTTAATTATAGTTATTCAGAATCAAGAGTTTTCGAGCAATTAACGCGTGTTTCAATCCGTCCTGTCCAACAATGTTCGCCTCGATATGATCCCTGATTTTGTTCAGATCTCGGATAGTTTCATCGTTAATATGCGAGAAATTAACCCGTTCCGTAGGCGCTGCGATTAATAAACAATTACCGATCAACGTATGTCCAAATTATAATATGTATCCCCTACAATTGGTAGTATGCTTACCTATCATCGTTCTTCTTGACAATTTTGCTACTTATTAACAGTTATTAAGGATGACACATAACAAACCAACAATACAGAAAGACAGCTCATTTTAAACTCTACTTGATCGGAGAGCGTGCGTGTTTATATATGATCTAATATCTATGTTTTACTCGTTAATGTCCTATTTGTCCTATTATTATTTCTTGTTCGCTAATATATCCAAAATATCAAAATACGACTCGCTAAGTAACTCAGTATCTTTGTTTAAATTTAGTCCATTTTTTTGTTCCTTGATATGTAGCATCTCAGAAATGAGTCTTTTATAATAATTATTTTCGTTGTCCATGATCTTAACATTGTCCCAATTAAAAGTATGATGTTCATTTATTATGTGTTCAGAAATTACTGAATGTTTCGTTGAGTCCAATCTAATATTATTTTTATGTTCTTTCATTCGCGTCTGCAATTGCCTCTTTGTTTGGCCTACATAAGATGCATTACAATTATTGCAACTGATCTTATAAACCACATTCGAATTGCATGGATGTTTAGTTTTATCTTTCTGCGCTTTAATAATATTATCCAGTTTGTTGAGACATCTATACCCTACCATACAATTTTTATTTTTTACCGAGGAAACAATCATTTCTGAGATCCCATCTATATACGGAATGACAAAGAATTTTTTATTGACCGAGTCATTTCCTATACTTTTTGTTCTTTCTATGTTGGCCTGTCTCTCTATAATGCTCCCCTTAGATATGATGTGTTCTATCCGATGATTAATTTTGTTAAAAATCAGATCAAGAGGGTAACCATTGCTTCTGAGTATATTAATAATTAACTCCAAATTTTTATTAAAAAATAGTGGATGTGATAGCAATAGACATCTGTCTACAAGGTTATATATTATTCCAATTTTGTGGCATAATGGGTGGTTTGAATAAAATGATAACGTCCTTCCTGAGAAGGTTTCTTTTTGATACCAGTCTATATATATTTTGTTATTAATAATTTTAAGTGATAAATCTAAGAAATTCAAGCTATGGTTAACCTCTTGTTCGACCGTGAATTTAAGTCTTTCATGATAGTTGTTAAAATTATTCACAATCTGAGTCATATTAGTCATAGAGGTGGCCACTATTATGTCATCCACATAACGAAAATAAAACAAACATTCCAAATTCAACGCTTTGAGAACTGTATCCTCAAGATCTTGCATAACCAGGTCTGCAATAATTGGTGATAACGGTGACCCCATAGGGGTCCCAAACGTCTGTTTATAAATTATGTCATCAAATGTAAAATATGTAGAAGTCAATATGAATTTTATACCCCCCAAAAATTCGTTTTTCGGTATTTTAGTATTTATTCCAATGTAATCCCATCTATCGTTAATACCGTCAATCGCAAGATCCAGAGGAACGTTCGTAAACAAAGACACCACATCCAAGGAAAACATCCTATCATTCTCATCAATCTTTTTACCAGACAATATGCTGTACAAATCAAAACTATTATTAATATGACTTTTCGCTTTGGGTAGGCTAGTTCGTAAGGTGTTTTGTAAAAACGAAGCCAGCGAGTATAGAGCTGTATCAACCGATGAAACTATGATTCTAACTGGATAGTTTTCCTTATGGATTTTAGGTAATCCATACGCTTTTGGAAGGAGAGAATCACTACAACGTAATTTATAATATTCGTTTTTTGAAATATAATCTTCCTTAAGCCATCTCTTCAACAAATCATTCAAATCGTTCTCTATTTTTTTGCACGGATTTTTTTTAACAATAGTGTAAGTGTTGACATCTTTTAAAACGTTTTCCATTTTGTTAATATAATGAGATCTTTCCATTGCCACCGTAGCATTACCCTTGTCCGCGCGTGTGAATAGAACATTCGGATTGTCTTTACAAAATTTTATTAAATCTCTGTGTGCACCAAGTAATTTTTGTTGACTTACGTCATTTTTATCCTTCGTGTTCAGAAGTTGTGCAAATTTTGGAACCGCGATATTTCTGATCGTTGTGAGATTATTAATATTATTTCGTTTGCTATTACTCTCTATGTCCTTGATGAATTCATGTATCGCTGTTTTTTTACTAATATTCGGAAGACAGAATTTATCACCCATTTGCAACAGATTAGAAACGTTAGGCGGAATGTCTGTGTTGGAAAGATTAACAAACCATTTTTTATTAGTATTTTCCAAAGGGTTAATTGTATCATTGTCACCACAACAGATTGGTTACTGCACACGAAAAGAAATTCAATTGGCTTAAGAGAAAACAACACTATAAGTATATCAACAGCATCAAACCTATAGATATACATTGTTCTTTACATTTTGAAACTTCACAACCGACGAAAATATCACAAAATTCTCTCAGGGCAATCACTAATGATGCCAAGGAGATCAATATACACATAGAAGCCAATAAATTTCTCAATGATACAATTAACCCTTTGGAAATACTAATAAAAAATGGTTTGTTAATCTTTCCAACACAGACATTCCGCCTAACGTTTCTAATCTGTTGCAAATGGGTGATAAATTCTGTCTTCCGAATATTAGTAAAAAAACAGCGATACATGAATTCATCAAGGACATAGAGAGTAATAGCAAACGAAATAATATTAATAATCTCACAACGATCAGAAATATCGCGGTTCCAAAATTTGCACAACTTCTGAACACGAAGGATAAAAATGACGTAAGTCAACAAAAATTACTTGGTGCACACAGAGATTTAATAAAATTTTGTAAAGACAATCCGAATGTTCTATTCACACGCGCGGACAAGGGTAATGCTACGGTGGCAATGGAAAGATCTCATTATATTAACAAAATGGAAAACGTTTTAAAAGATGTCAACACTTACACTATTGTTAAAAAAAATCCGTGCAAAAAAATAGAGAACGATTTGAATGATTTGTTGAAGAGATGGCTTAAGGAAGATTATATTTCAAAAAACGAATATTATAAATTACGTTGTAGTGATTCTCTCCTTCCAAAAGCGTATGGATTACCTAAAATCCATAAGGAAAACTATCCAGTTAGAATCATAGTTTCATCGGTTGATACAGCTCTATACTCGCTGGCTTCGTTTTTACAAAACACCTTACGAACTAGCCTACCCAAAGCGAAAAGTCATATTAATAATAGTTTTGATTTGTACAGCATATTGTCTGGTAAAAAGATTGATGAGAATGATAGGATGTTTTCCTTGGATGTGGTGTCTTTGTTTACGAACGTTCCTCTGGATCTTGCGATTGACGGTATTAACGATAGATGGGATTACATTGGAATAAATAC